CCCCCCCGAGTTGTTGTGCCTCCCGGATCTGCAAGGGTGTGCGATCCAGCTCATCCTCGGGTTCCTGGGATTCCTTCATCATCTGAGCGCTGCAAAGGTCCTCCATGCCATGTCGCCGAACCACTTCCCTCAAGTAGGAACATTGATTGGCAAAGAAGTCTCCTTGTTCAGTTCGGCTCAACTCCATTCCACAGTACCGAACTGGTTCACGATCTCCCACCCACGTAGGTTCGGACGTCTCCCAGGTCCTTCGAAAGCTCTGGAGCCCTCCCTCCACAATCTCTCTCGCGCCGAAGAGCATCACATCATCCACATATACCAAGGCGAGTCCCTCGACCTGGTCTCCATCTCCAGCATCCTTCCTGCGCACCAACCACAAGTTCTCCTCCGCGAAGCTCTGCTGGTACTCATAGGTGATGGAGTTCGCTTGAAAGGACATCTGGCTGATCTCGATGTCCCTGTAGTCCCCCCAAAGCTTCGGAGACTCACGCAGGCCATACAGGGCCTTCTCCACCAACCACATTTCCCCTTCCTTGACCAATCCCAGCCGAACGAGGATCTTTGGAGGAAGCATGAGCACCAGTCGTTTCCTCTTCGTGAGGTCCTCCTCCTGCTGCTCCTCCACGGTCATCTCTTCTTGACCACCGTGACCTCCTCCCGCTTCTTCATGGTCCTCTTGAGGTCGACCATGGGCGTCTTCCAAGGCGATTGCTTTCTTCCGGCTGCTCTCCTGTAGCGTCCGCAGAGGGGCATTCAAGAAGGCAGTCTTTATGTCCAGACTAGCTGCCTGCCAGCCCCGCGTAGCCGCCAGTGCCAAAGAGGTCCTCAAGCATGTAGTGTCCGCTCCACCTGCATAGAGTTGAGCTGCCTCCGAACGATCTCCAGGCCCTCTTCCAGCTCCCTTCAGGTAGTTTCCGCACACCACCAGGCGACATTTCCGACGTCCATCGGGAGCCTTAACGGCATGTATAGCCTTCCCCGGGACCACCTCCACCTTGTCCCCGTGTTCCCTCTGGTAATAGGCCACTTCTGCGGGGGTCAGTCGCCGAATCGCCTTCTTGCCCTCCAAGGACTGGATCTCCTTCATGATGGCTTCCAGCCAAAGGTCCCGGTCTTTGTAAACCTCATCGTTGGGTACGATCCGGGTTTGGAGAATCTCGTCTTCCAAAAGTCGTTGGGTCGATGCCACCTGTTCTTGTCGTAGAGCAACCAGGCCTCGGCTCAACGGAGGAACCTCTCTTGGAGCGGATCCTAACAAGTGACCCTCCTCCTCATAGATGGCCTGAAAGAGCATTCGACGATCCTCCTCCCTCTGTAGGTCTTCTTCTCCCTGTATGCATGCCAGTGGTGTCTTTTCTCTCAACCTCCAGCGAAGCCGTACAGGATCATCTTGGATATGGACCTCCTCCATGACCAAATCCCGTTCGTCAGGTTTAGGCTCTTTGACATCCTTTATCAAGTAGCTCACCACCTTGACCTTCTCCTTGTCCGTGAGAACCGCATGCCCTTTGGACACCTGTGGGGTAGGAGTCAGGTAAGTCACCATCTCGGATGTCACTTCGAAAGGTCCTCCTCGCTCCCAAGCTCGCTTTCTCACCGTGATGAGCTGCCCAAAGCGTGGTAGCGTCTCCTTGATGTTTTCCCTTCTCCTTCTTTCTGGATCCGTCACGTGCCTAGCCGCTGCCGGCCACCACTTCGTGGGCATGCCCGAAGCATGTAGAAGTCGACGGACCCTTTGCTTGATCGACGCGATCATGGCCTCAGCACGACCGTTGGATTGGTGTTCGTCTGGAGGACTGAAGGTTCTCGCTGTGAGATTGTTTCGGGTCCTTGTTTGCCGTTGGTTTCAAGTGTGTTTACTAGATCCAACAGGTTTTTGACCATTCATGCCATATTCCTACCAAATTGGCTCTGGAAATGCGCGCGCGACCTTTAACTATCTGAACTTTCCTGTTTTTCTCAGTAGTTCTTTGTTGCGCACAATCAAAGTCTTGAAAGCAACAAACAGCACAGAACATCATACGCTAACCTAACCTTTATGAATATATTTGTGCATAATCTGGCCACTCTCACCCAGGTGACCAAACATTTTCATGCCTTTGCTATTTCTCTGTGCTCGCCATGCGCGGCGGGTGAATTCTCAAGTCGCTGAAGCGGATGATGTTGGTGCTGATGGCTTCAAAAGCAAGACCCAAAAGCGGGCAGCCCCGCGAGTCTCTTGGATAGCACAGCTTGCAAAGGAACATGGGTTAGAACACCTGTGTTCCTCTGAGAACAAAGCAGCGGGTAGCTCCGTGGAAAAGAGGACACCAACGGGACAAGCCGCATGTGTGTGTATAGTGAAAGTACAGCCGGGACAGCTAAGTGAGGACTTGTTGACATTGTGGGATCAGGAGGAAAAATACCTCCTTGATTTTTTGTTTGAAGGCAGCTTGCGCAGAGCTTTCTCCTTGTCAGTGGTGAAGTTAGTTCGCTTTGAGTCACCATATTGGTCACAATGCCCGATCAGATTCAGATCAGATCTGTGGTTGCCTGAGTCATGCAAATGGAGCGAGGTCCAAAACTGCATTGCCAATTCAATGTCGCAGGACGGCATGTCGGCGGCGCTAGATGTGAGCCCAGAGGAATTCAACGAATTCCTGCTGCGCCCATTGGGTTTGCGGATTCCTGCCTTGCCCCTTGAACTCCTTGTGCGGAAAAGGTGGCGCAAGTTGATGTTGGACGGGGTAGATTTCATTCACAAATCAGCTTGGCTAGAAAGGGCAAAAGCTTTCCAAGCTAGCTTGGGTTTCCCTCCCGATGATTGGGTTGCAAAGGCAAAGCAGTGTAAAGCGGCGCCAACATTGCCGCAAGTGCCTGAACTTCACTTTGAAGGCCCTCAGGCCGAGCGTTTGGTAACATTTTTGCGGCAATGGTCAGGGTGCATCCTGCAACAAGTTGGGGGCGAGGAGAGACAAAACTGCCGGCTGCAATTGGAAGATGCAGTGCTTCGGTTGGACCAAATAGTTAAGCGGCACCAGGAAAGCGAGTACCGCAAGACACATGGTGAAGTAGGTCAAGGACAAGGTCATCGAGGGCCAAACCGAAGTCATGAATCTTTACTGAACGCATTGTGCGCAAGCATGTATTTGCGAGACCGAGGCAAACTAGCAGAGACCCTGGACAGGACCATTAAAAGTCTGCCAGGAGGAGGCGCAATCCCGAGCTTGGTGAAAGGCCTGGGGCCGCTAGCTGACGCGCCCACTATTAGCAGGTCACAGATTTCAATCGATGCAGCTCTATGTTGCTATTTCAGACAAGTCTTTGAGTCGGATGCCTGGCTGCTGTTCCTATTTGCAGATTCTTCCCCGCAAGGCGGGTTGGATTGGCTCATGTCTATGTGCCGTATGGTTAAATTGCAAGACCTTAGAGCATGCGTAGAGGCCGCCAGCATTCTCCAGCAATCTGTAGTAACGTTCAGAGCGGCATCCCTAGAGGACAATTTCCAACGCGCGCAAGAAGTGGTCCAAGAGCGGCATGCAGCTGGTGTTTTGCTGCAACAGAAAGTCAAAACCCACCACCAGATCCCAATGCTTTTGGGCAGCGGCAGTGCATCGCTGGAGCAAAAGCTACTTTGCATGGTCCGAAAGTTTCTAGCGGAGACTCACCGCCCTTCCTTGTTGCGTCGGACCATGGCCCGAGTCCGCGCATTCTGCACAGACCTTGGCACAGAAAAAGGGTTCACCCAACAGGTCAAAGGGCATACAGTAGCGGATGTGTTCCCGCAATGGATGCAGGAATTTGGACTAGTGCCTGACGAGGAAGAAGTGCAACTCCAGGCACCAGCGGGTAGTGGGCCCAGCGGGAGTCACCGCAGCGGTCACCACAGTGATCCGTTGGATCGGGGAGATGATTCGGAATACATTTTTCCGAACGCATTGCCTTCACCTGGGTTGCTTCACATTTTCCATAACATGGACAAAGACTTGCACCAATGCCTCAAGGGTTGGGAAGCATGGTTGCCAGGAATGAAGGCCATAGCCACTCTTTTTCACAACAAGAGTTTGAGGCAGCGTTTTGTGGCCACTTGTATTCTCAACACACCATTTGCTTGGATGCAGCCAGCTGCAGAGACGGGAGTTGTGAAACCTGCAATGTGGCGATGGGGCACTGTCCACAAGCTCATTCCAGCGCTTTTGGCGAAAAAGCGGATGTTGCAAATCGCTTGGAACCAGCAGAAATTTGAAAGCCCAGAAGACAGCCAAGTTGACCAGTGCGCTGACAGATTGCCCCCTGAAGAAATCGCAGATTTTCAGGTTTCCGTGATGTCTGCAGCAATAGCTTCAGAAGGATGGTGGCTGTACGCATGCATGCTTGGCAAGGTAAGCGAAATGAGCTCCGCTCTCAGTCATTGGGCTGAATCATGTAGGTGTCACTGCTGGCTTTGCCCAAGCGGCGCGAGCCGCCCAAGCAGCGGGGGACACCGCGCAAGCCCAAGCGGTGCGAGCCGCAATGATTCTGCCATCGAAAATTTGACAGCAATTCGGCAGGTTCTTGGATACAAAAATGCTGAGGGGGATGGAAATGGATTTCAATGTCCATTGGCCGGGATGAGGGCATATGAGCTTGCCACAGGCGAAATATGGGACATGCTTGATGAAATGCACAACACCTTTTTGCAAGAGATTTTGGAGGGGAACTCGTGCAAAGACCATGCTGAGATCCAAGCAGCTTTCGCAGATTTTGCCCACAGCAAAACATTCATGGTCGAATACTTGCAACAAAAGCTGGTGGTTTGGAAATCTTTGCCGTGGAAGATGGTTTCTTTGAATCATTTCCATAGCTCTGATGCGCAGCGGGCTAGGAAGGCTGCCTCTCAGATGATCAAAGATTTTGATGCCAAGGCTGGAGCAGAGAGCTCGAATCCTTTGTCGAGGGAGTTGAGCTAGCGGATCTGCCCGCTTTGAGTTCTTTTGTGTGGGGGCTGCTGTTCACCCCCACAGTCGAACGTGTGCAGGAGGCAGAGCACGCGCACACAAAGCAGGCCATCATCCACCGCGGGAAGATCTCTCCCGCATATGTGAGCTGCCGCTTGCGGTTTCCTGAGATTCGGGAAATCATTGACAATCCTCCTGAATTGAAGAGTTTGCTTTCAGCCTTCAAGATCATCAAGGACCCAAATTCTTTGGCCAAGCTTTTTGGCTTTTGGAACCATCCGCTGTGGCAAAAGTCTGTCCAACAGAACTATTCAAAGATGTTGAAAATGCAATTGGCTGCAACAATACTATACTCAGGGGACCCTGAAAGCCAGTACGCGAAGGATGTGCAGAACAAAAGGCGGCGGAAAGACAAAAAGAAAGCTATGGAACAGAGGGTCAAGAAAGCTTTGAGGGCATACGGCAACTTGGGGAAAGGGATGAGCTGGAGTCATGGGAACGTCGAGCGCGTGTCCATAGCCCACCACCTGCAAGAAAGGCTTGAGATGGGCAACTTGTATAGCCTCTCCCAGCAGTCATTGAATTTCCCTACTCTTCCGCAAGCGCAAATGCCATTGCAGGGTTTGGAGGAAAAACGATATCCAGTCAGCCAGGAACCTGCATTGCAAATCCAAGCTGAGCCTTGGCAGTCTTTGCAGCCCTTGGGCCCTGAGAGTGAGACTTCTGCTGCCATTGTGCTTGCAGATGATGCTGACAAAGACAAGGCCCCAGGGCAACTGTCTGTGGAGAAAGTTGTGTTTTTGCGCATTGTCAAGAGTAAGCCAAGTAGCTTGCGCAATGTTGATTTGCCAGCAGCGGAAACCAAACGCTTGGGATCAACAGACATGTGTGTAAGTTTTCACAAAGCCAGAATGGCGCCCACCATTCAAGGACAGGATCCTTCTTTGTGCGTTAGCGTGGAGCCTACAGTAGCCATGGGCGTGCCCAACACAGTTGCAGTTCTCTCAGTCTGTGGAAGCAGCAACATAGACGTTGACCTGGGACCGTTGACACAGAGCATGCGTTGCTGGATGATTGACAAGCAGTTGCAATTTGCGCTGAGGGATTACACTGTTTCAGCCGCAGCCTCACACTTGCTGCGTGATGCCGTGCTTGGAAGAGCTTTTCCAAATTGCTCCCGCGAGCAGTGGTTGGTGCTGGACACTTCAAATGATGCTGTAATGGCAGCAGCAAAAGAGTTGCAAGCGTTGGGTATATTTGAGCCACAAAGCTTAGCGGGTGGCTCCGCCTGTTTTGCTTTGACTCCTAGGGGCGTGCAGCAGCTTCATCATATGCATGCAGTGCAACACCCAGAAAAGGTTTTTCGAAGTGCTGAGACATTGGCTGCTCTGCCCGCCCCCCAAATGTTGGAGTGCACAAGTTGGGAATTGATGCAAATTTTAAAACACCAAGGCTGGGAGATGAAGAAATGTCCTGCTGGTCAGAAGCGGCGTGGTTTGCCGCCCATCACTAGAAGCACTGTGGAGAGAAAGTTTTATCTTTCCTCACTGCACGCGCATTCAAAACATCACATGGCCTACATGAAGGCCTTGTGTCAGGCAGAGACTTTGTTTGAACATGGCGTTGTGCATGCAATCCATCATGGGCAAAACCCAACATACTACCAGGCGATTCTGGACGAGGCGCATGATGGTGTGATTGCCCCCGTGCCTTTAGCGATCGAAGCGGGTGGCTCCGCCGAGATTGCAGCAGCTATTCCAATGCAATTGGAATTGGATGAGCACATAGTACTAGCGGTAAACCCCGCCAGGCCTGCGCTAAGAGAATCAGACATTGTAACAAACCAAGATCCTCTTGACAATTTTTGCGCCTCAAAGGGCCAGGAAAGCGCCTTGGAAAAAGAATCTGTGTGCTCAGACCCAGGCAACTCCGCAGATTCAGCAGAATCATGGACTCCAGAATTTGTGCCATCATCTGATGAGGGTGCGAATCAGAGCCCTGTTGGCGACCCACCTCAAAGCCCAACCGCAAGCCATGACATCACACCCCCAGACCCAGACCTGCCACGCCCTCCCGACATTCTTGGCCCAGCAGAGACTGGAACGCCGCGTGGTTCTGACAACCAAGTAGCGGAGACACAGCCACCGCAAGAGCCTCTCACAATGGATGATGGTACTTTGCGCAGAGACGCATGGGTGACCCGTGAGAAACACCCAGACAGCTTTCATTGGGGCGTGTTTCGCTTTACTTTCACACCTGCGTCCAAGCGCCCACCGTATGGACAATTCCAAGCTAAGTGCCCATACCACCAATTAAACCCAAAGACTTCTTGCACCCGAGCTATGCAGGTAGGTCCTTCGTCTGAGTCGAGAGATTTAGTAATCCGAACATTGCAATCCTGGTGCTTGTTGGCAGCGGTACACAACCGCAAGAGACATCACACTTCTGCTTTTGTGTCCAAAGCGGATGTTCTCCCGCAAGCGTTGCTGGATGAACGGCTCAAAACTTTGTCAGACCCCCCCACACATGTGCCTACCGACATTGAGTTAGATGCATTAGACAGGGACAATGACAGAGAAACCGCTGATGCAAGAGCTGGCAAAGCCAGTTCTTCTCGCCCTGGCAAGGCATCAACAGCCAAAGGGCAAGCAAAGGCTGCAAGCAAAGCCAAGGCCAAACCGAAAGCAAAGGACAAAGGGCTCAAACAAAATCCTGAAAGGCCAACAAAAAAGCGAAAACTTGACTTGGGGGACGCGTGCTCCGAGTCCAAGGCTTCAGAGAGAGAAGGGGACGGGATCTCTAGTTCCAAAGGAAAGAGCGCAAAGAACGCAAGCGAGACATCCCTTTCTTTGTCAAGCAGCAGCAGCAGTAGCAGCAGCTCAGGCTCAAGTAGCTGACCAGCTGAAACTGGACTGTGAAATAGAGCTGCTGCGCCCGCTGGTGTGTCCAGAATTCCACCAATGTCTTCAAGTCTTCAACGTTACATATTTTGTGTTCATTGTGCCAACAAAGGTTCTGTTTGGGGTTTTCAACATCGGTGCTTTCAATGCACAACAAAACAACAGACTTTCAAGCGTTGGTTCTTGAAGCGGTGGGCTCAAGCCGAGCCCAGCAGCTGCCGGGGCAGCCAGTTATAGGTAGAGTTGTTTTTACAATCAGACCAGTTGAACCAATGAACTAATTCAACATAACTTAACGACATACCCATGCCTTTTTATGCTGGCAATCCTATTGGCACTGCGCGTGACCACACACTACATGCCCAACGCAATATAGCACACACGCAGACACATATAGAATATAGCCACACTAGCACCAGCCCGCGCATCCGCCGTGCCCGCAGGCCCTGTGCCTTGATGGCCGATTGGGCCGATTGGAGCTCATGGAATAGCGGCGCAGACCGCTGGAGTGAGTGGGGTTGGGGTTGGAGCGGTGACAGCCACAGAGACCGCAGTGACTGGCATCCCAGATCATCAAATGATCCTTGGGAAACCTGGTCCGACTGGGGCAATGACCAGTCTTGGTCTGGGTGGCAAAGCAATTCGAGCGATGGCGGAGGCAACCCTCGCTGGTCCTGGCACAATGACTGGCGCCATGACAACGCTGACAACGCCTGGCGCTGGCAGCGTGACAACTGGGACCAGGACCAGCGCCAAAGCTGGGGCACCCGCAATGGTTATACTGACAGCTGGCAGCAGTGGGAGGCAGACCAAGGTTGGCATGAGCGAGCGGGAAGCACCGCAATGGACAAGCAGAAACAGGGATAGTGAGAGGGATTGGAGTCCCGCTCAGGGCAATCAGGACACCAACAATGCCAATGGTGGCAAAGATGTCAAAGGCAAAGGTGGCAAATATGAGTCATCATCCTATGAGGATGTGGCATTGTCGCCAGAGTCGCCACTGCCTGGGCCGCCCCGCTCACCGGCATCGCCAGACTACTCGCGCAGCAGTGGTGATCGCCGCTCACGGTCACGAAGCTACGCAGCAAAGTCGGCTTCGCGGTCACGAAGTAACCCCAGGGGTCCAGGCCGTGACCCAGAACCAGTGCCACACACTGCCAGCGGAAGACGCAGCAATGAAGAGCAGTCCCGTGATGATGATGATGATGGTGTTTGGCATTGGCCCTATGAGCCATGGCGAAATCATTCAGGAGACAAAGGAGACTCCTGGAAGTGTAAGGAAAATTTTCAAGGGTGGAAGCACACCAATCTTGGAGCACGATGGGACCGGAGAAGCGCGCGGGCAAAGGCGAAGAGGATTGACAGGGGCAAGGCGCGCCGTGAAGCCTACCAGCAAAACATGGTGCCCCCCCCTCCCGCTCCGACTCCGAGCCCGACTCCGTCTTGGAGTGTGAGTCCAACATCCCCTGCCGATGGGGTGCCTGAGGCAACTCAAGCGGCTGAAGCAGCTGCACCTGAACAGAACAAGCCTCCTGTCAAAGAGGAGCTTGCCATGACAGCAGATGGCGACATAAAGAAAGAGGCTCCTGCTCCTCCTCCAGGGTTGGCCCAGGAGATAGCAAAGCCTGCAGAGGGACTGTCTCATCCAGCGGATGTCCCGCCGCCGCCAAAAGAAGAGGTTGAGGCCCCAGCCCGCTCTGGAGTAGATGGCTCCACTGTGGCTGCACCTGCTGCGCATTCAGCGGGCACAGAGGCCCTGCCTGACAAGCAGGCAACTGAAGCTCAGGCTCAAACTGTGGAGCGTGAAGCGGAGGAGCCCGCAGTCAAAGCTGAGCCAGAAGAATCAAATGAGCCTGCTGCGGTTGAAACGCCCAGGCCGACAGTCACAGCCAAGATGGAAGATCTTGCAGAGCCTGGGCCTGCGCTTTCTGTAGCGGAAAACCCCGCAATGGAGGAAACAGGGAAACATCCGCCTGGCGCAGCAGAAGAGCCATCAAGAGAGACCCTGCCATCTGAAGCGGATAGGCCCGCAACAGGTGAGGCCAGTGAGGCCAGTGCTCAGGCTGAGGCTTCTTCAGGCCCAACTGTGGCTCCTGGAGAGGTTTTGGATTTTGAAGAGCGGGCAGCCCCGCCAGAAAAAAACAGGAAGAGGAAGCGTCGCCACAATGACCCTGAGAAGAAAACATCCCACAGGGAGAAAGGCCCCAGCGAGAAGTCTCGCCGCAGGCGACGTCGGAAGCGGCAGGAAGACCTGGCACCGCCGCCGCCTGAAGCTACACCAGAGGAGAGCGGGCAGCGCCGCCCTTAAAGAACTTCTGAGCGGGTAGCTCCGCACGGTGACCTTTTCCGTAGATTGGAGGAAAAAAAGGCCGCTGCAATGCAATCTCTTGCAAAAAAAGCGATTCGTCTTAATTTCATTGAATTTCATTGATTTTTGATCGATTTTGATTTGTTTTGATCGATATTCATTGATTTTGGCTTCGTCCCAATCGATTTTGATCGATTTTGTCCAAACTCATTGGAAATTACTAAAAATCATGGAAAAAACAAAGGAAATAGGAGAAATCACTATAGAAATCTTAAAAATTGTATGTGTTTATTGTATTTTTGGTGTCCCAGTTATGGCCCACAGCCAAATCTGATTGTTTTTTGATAATGGTAGAGGGGGGGGGGGGGGGGGGGGTCGGGGGGGGGTCGGGGGCGGGGAGGGGGCGGGGGGTAGGTCGGGTGATGGTTTTTCAATGCTTTGAGCCGCGCCGCCCTCAAATCTCAAGGTTTCTGGTTTCTGGAGTCAGAAAACAATACTTTTTTTGCAAATCATAGCGAGAAACAAGCAAATTAAGACAATTCAAGCAGTTTTTGTTAGAATTTTATCGAAATTGGTCAAATTGCATCAAAATCCAATAAATTTCATCAAATTTAAGGAAATTCCATTAAATTTCATCAAATTTTATCAAATTTCAACAAAATCTATCAATTTTGCAAAAAATAAGGCAACACAATTTGTTTTTGCAATTTTTAGCGTTTTTCACTTTTTCTGCAAGAGTCTAAGCACTCTGGGCCCCAGGGCCCTTTGTCCCCAGGTCCCCAGGCAGGGGCTCGCCATAGCCTACCTGCTGCGCCCGCCAAAAAGACAGCGGGTAGCACCGCCAGCCCTGCAGACAGAGCCAGGGCCAGAGCCACTCTGGCAAAGTCAGCGGGAAGTCCCGTTTGGGCCTCGAACTGTGGAAGAAAGTGACAGGTGGCCTGTCCGGATTGTGGGTAGATTGAAGGATGCACATTTTCTACACCCACTGCAACAGGTTTTTGAAAGCTGCGTGCATTTAACCACAGACTATAGCGGGATTGGCTCCGCAGAGGAGGCTATGCGATGCTTGCTCTTGGCTGCAGCGGCTGCAGCGCAGGCAGAAATTCCAAATGGGTCTGCCATGTCGCAAGGAGACCTGGAAGAATTAGTGGAGCAACGCTTGTTGGTGCAGCGGTGTGGAGACCAAGACCCCAATTGCAGAACAGTTTTGCTGGCCAACCGTGGCTGCAGCGCCCCTCATTGTGTGCACGGCGACATTGGGGAGCGGTGTAGCCGCCGCATCTGGGAAGAAACCGCTGAGCTTTTGGCTAACGTTCGAAAATCAAGCGCGGCGCAGGCCAGCCTTTCACAAGATTCGCTTGCCACTGAGATCTTTGCTCAGTTTATGCAGCAAGAGTTGAAAAATGTTTCAAGCTATTGCTACAGGCATTTGCAGCACTGCCGACTTCACCAACCCACACCCACTAGCAGTGGCAGCAGCTGCAGCGCCGCTGTTCAAGCTGAGAGGACATCAACCAGTAGCCACGACAGCAACCCCTTTGAGCAGGTGGAGGATCTCAACCACAGCGGCAGCCCCGCCCCTCTACGTTTGCATATAGCAGGGTTCTCCTGTGTCGATTGGAGCAACATGGGATCCAAACAGGGATGGATAGGACATTCAACCCTGAGCTTTATGCAGTGGCTCGCCGAAAGGACACAGTTTGAGGAGGATATTGTGATTTGTGAAAATACAGTGGCCTTTGATCTTGACACACTTGTCAAGCTGACTCCAAAGTTCCAAGTGGACACTTTGACTGTGTCCCCGACTTTGATCGGAGAACCAGTGGAGCGCCGCAGGCTATACATCATCTTGCTACTCAAAAAAAGAAGGAGATGGAGCCGCGTTGTACCGCAAAACAAGCAAGGCTTGTTCGATCAGCTGTTCAAAGCGAGGCCATTTTTGACTCCAACAGCAAAGTTCCGAGCTCCCCAAGATCAGGTGTCTGAATTTGTGGCAGGTTTGGCAGCCAAGCAGCTTCTTCCTCCAGTGTCACGGAGTGGCAGGGCTTGGTCTTGCTTTCAGGCTGTCAGCGGACCTGTCCGCCGACAGATCCAGGAGCACGAGATTGCAAGAGCCGAAGAAGCAAAAAAGAAATCCGACACAGGAGTTGAGGACGCAGAGGATTCGAGCATGTGGGTGACAAACTTAGCGCAGTCAGCCCAATATATGAAGCCAGTGTATGGGCAAGTCCCAGCACTTCTGAGAAAGAGCAACTTGTGGCTGTTTGGTCCTCGGCGGCTGGCGTTGCCGCAAGAGCACCTGGAGTGCCAGGGATGGAACCTCTTTGGCGCTGGCCCATTTGTCAACGAGGCTTCAAAGGAGGTTTTCCAAACTATGACCCACTCATGCCTCAAGTCTTTTGCTGGCAACAGTATGCACTTGCATGCTGTGGGTGCAGTCATAGCCTTCACCCTGGCGTGCACTGAGAATGTCAATGAAACTTAAGCGCACAAATTGTTGTCAAATACCCAGAGAGAACCAAGTTTAGCGGGGACCTCCGCCAAGGAGTTCACAGTTCACTGCGGGCAGCGGGTAGCTCCGAGTGGCTGTGGCGCTTCAGTGTCAGCAATAGTGAACTTTTCACTGTCAATGACTGTCAAGCAGCGCGCTGAAAAGGATTCAGCGCTCCATGCCCATTGTTCTGCCACCCCTACTCGACCCATAACCACTTTGAGCGCATTTCTCTGGGAAGTGTAGCAAGCAACGTAAATCATCAATGGATAGGTCCTAGGTACTTAGACTGAAAGTCCTTTTGTCAGTTCCATAGCGGAACAGCTGTAAGATTGCGGTTCTTGTTGCGTGATGCATGTTTCTGCAAATCATTTGGATCAAGGGCCGTGCGCAAGGGTGCTACCCATATGCCTGCCATGAAGCTCTGACAACTCAGCGGGTAGCTTCGCCTGTGCCTTAGACCTGCAAACTGACTCCATGGAAGACCCGGGTCTTGAAACCATACACGTGCCTATCTATCTACCTGAGTGCATTCGTCCAGACACAGACCTTGGCCAGGAACTCAGCAGCCTAATTCTAGCTTTGACTGAGAGGCTTGCTCCGAAATTTGGTGTGCTGATGGCAGCTGATTTGGCCCACTTTTGTATCATTGAGATGGACGCAGACGAGGGCCTGCAGTTGTTCGGAAGATTGGATTCATTGAGCAGGCGCCATGTGGAGTCAGTCCAGAACTTCTTGGCTGATTCAAGCAATGATTGAAAACGCGAAAGGAGCAAGCAGTGCGCAGTCAGGTTCACTGGCAACGCGCTCAGGCGGCCCAGTTTTGGGTACTGGGTACCTATATTATACTACTTTGTCAAAGGGGCTGCAGCCACAGGCGCTGGCGCTGGCGCAAGCAGCGAGCGGGTGGCCCCGCAGCTTTGCAGTTGAACTTGCAGCCTTGCAGCTTTCAAAGGAGAGGTTAGCGGGTAGCTCTGCGCAGAGGCAGGGGATGGGTTTTCGCCAAGGCGTGAAAATGGTTGCTGTCATGGGCATGCAGTGTGCGCTTTTTCCACCAAGTTCGCCATGTACCACTCCCCACATAACCTCCCTTTAATATGTCAGGATTCCTCAGACTTGCTTGCTACCCTTTTTGTTTCTCTTAAATTTGGTGGTGTCACTGTCTTTTGGCAATTTAGTTGTTTAGTTGTAGGCTGTAGGGGCAGCTATATACTTAGTTTCGCAAGAGTTAAGCACATTGTCATCCTAATTCTCATGTAATGGGCAAATTTTATTGCTTGCCTGCGGCCCGATGTCCTTGCGGCTCGAATTTCTTCTCAGCGGTAAACCCGCCTGCCAAACCAATTTGCCCAACTCGGCACTTGCCTCTTGTGCTGGAAACTGCACTTTGCAATGGCCAACGCAGCAGGCGTGGCAGGGGCCGCAGCAGCGGGTGCACCGCTGTGCAACCGCAGCAGTACTTCCTCGTCTGCAAATACCAGCGCTTCAACTCCGATGGCGCTCGTTGTGGGCGGCTCCGCGAATGGTTGATCCTGGACCAGAGCCAACGAATTGGTTTCTTCAGGATCACCAAGAACAGGTTCCGTGCTTTGGAGTGGCAAGGCCGCTATGCCATGGCAGCGGTGAACCGTCTGGTCATGGCAGACTTTGCCTGCAGTCCAGGAGCAGGTGTGCGCCGCCATGACTTGGAGTTCCAGTTTCTGCCTCCTGGCTACTGGACAGCGGTGGATCACCGCATGATCAGAAGGTCATTCCTCCCCATGTTTGGGATCTACTCCACGCAGCAACAGTGCGAAAGGTTTGTTTATAACCTTGATGCCTTCATGCAAGGCCTGCTCATCCAGTGACCTTCCAGTCATGGTGGCCTGCGTCTGCGGGCCATTGCCTCGCGGCGCTGCTGCTGAAGCTGCAAGCAACAGAATCGGGAATCGGGAAAGTTGCACAACCTCACCGCAAAGTGGTCAGCTTAGCCAACACTGACACTCACGCGGCTTGACTCAAGCAGCCGCTGGTGATTGGTGGCTGCTGCTACAAAGCGGTCAGCCCTGGCCCGCTTGGTGATGGCCTCTGCCACAAAGCAGTTCGGTCCTGCTGCTGCAGTTGCTGACTTGGCCCCCTTGAGTTGTCAGCCCGCAGTAGCGCTGCCATAGGAGTTGCATTGGGAATTGGCTACAGTTATTTTTTCCTCAAAGAGGAAGCGGAATGGCCAATGGCCACTGGCCACCGGCAGACATGAAGGCCAAAAGAGGCCTGAAAGTGGAAAAGGCTTTGCCTTCACGGCCTCGCGCAGTCTAGTCGTTTCGCTTGTGTTTTACAACCATCCTCATCAGCGTGTGAGTCAGGTCAATATAGGACTCTTTGTCACCAGTCCTTTCCTGAGGTTCACCAGCCGCCAGTCATGAGAGCACTGTTGCTTCTCTTTGTTCAAGCGCATTTTGGTCAAACTTGGTCCATGATTACACATAGGCATGCTTGCAGCCTGCAGCTGTATGAGTATC